CTGCACGAGCTCCCGAGCTCAGTGGGCACTGCCGGACCTAAACCGCCAGAAAGAATGCCGAATTACAATGTGTCACTATATGTTAGATAGAATGTTAGATTCTATGTCAGATAGAATGCCAGAAAAAATGTGAGATAGAGTGCCAGGTAGAATGTCAGAATGAAGTCAGATAGAATGTATGGCAACATGTACACCCAAAGCAAGGGTGCGAATAAGGGTGCTTATTCGCACCCTCAAGTCGGCAGTGAAATGGTTTCCTTCTTGGCCTGGGGTTGCTTAGGTTTGGTGATTTTATATATACGATACACACTTCCGGTTTTTGCATCCAGTTAAAAATAACAAGATTTCCTTTGAAAAGGGTCCTCGGGTGAATGGGGTCCTCGGCTGCAAAAGGATTTCATTTTGGAGACATGTCAGGTATAATGCCAGATAAAAACATCATGTCAGAAAAATGTCAGATAATGCCACGTAGAATGTCAAAGTATACGTCAGGTAGAATGCCAGATAGAATGTCAAATTATATGTCAGATAGAATGCCAGATAGAATGACGGTTGGTAAATGTCAGAAGCTATGTCGTCCACATGTATGTCTTGAAATGTCATGGTGGGGATCACTCGAAGTAAAGTAATTCCACTTTTTCCATATAGAACTTGCCAGTGATCGGGGGTTCCCAGCTGACTTTTGCCAGGTATGGCTATCCGATTTTCCCACTTGCGTTTTCGCAGCCGGTCTCAACACGGAGAATGCTCGACATGCATTCGCCACAAGGCGATGGTTCGCCGTTTGGCTGGCCACTTGACTGCTCGCAATCTTCAGCAGCAGTACTACTTCGAACATCTCCAGCATCAATATGCCGACAGACTCTGCTATTGGTCAGCCAGAGGCGAATCTCGCCACAAAGGACTCAGTGTTGTTATGATCACCGATGGTATGGACCAGGCCAAGTACGCGCTACCTAGATCTGAGATCATGAAGTCAAAAGAATTCGGACAATTCCAGAGACCACGCCTACATATCAGTGCTTTGATAGCGCATGGATGGTTCATCATATTCCAGGTGTCCCCAGCAGATCTTCCAAAGGACAGTAACAGTTGCATTGAGCTCATCTCCCACAGCTTGACAATCTTAAAACGAAAAGGGGCACCTTTGAAGGAGATGCACGTGAACGTGCAAAGCGACAACACGTGTCGCGAGTGCAAGAATTCGCTCATGTTGAGATACATGGCTGCCTTGGTATCCTCGAATGTGGTCGGCTCTGCGGCACCCACGTGTCTCACAGTCATGAGGACATAGATCAAGTTTTCGGACAACTCAGTCGACACATCTTACGCTGGCGATGTTTGCAGACTCCAGAGGACGTGGCCACTTGCATTCACTCTTTCTTGGAGCAGGCGAAGCTCTTCGAGCCGAAGGAGGATCGGCATGTTGTGCAAGTAGACCAAACCAGAGATTGGCTCCTTGGATGTATCCTTGGCTGTGGATACCTCCTCAATAGCCAGATTTTCATTTAGTGACAGCGGATGATGGATTGTGAGAGTTCCATGATTTAAGCAATGATTGAAAACTGACTATGGCAGTGATTTGTTTGGCCTCTTTCTT